AAAATGTATTTAGTAGTTATAGGGTCTCACTCTGCAGCTCAGACTCCTAGTGATCCTCCTGTTTCCAGCCTCCCCAACACGAGGATTACAGGTATACACCCAGGATTACAGGTGTGCACCACCACACCTGGTTACAGTGGCCTGCTCAATGCACTTGGGGGTGGGGATGGCACAACCTGGGGTGCTGGGTATTGAACACCCTCCCCATGCTTGCCTAAGCAAGTGCTTAGTCCGCTGAGCTATCTCACCCGCCCTTTATTACTATTTTTAACTGACATAATTTTATATACTTTTTTATGTTTACAATGTGATTTTTAATATTTACTATGATTTAAAGCAACTGAATTTATCCATCACCTCTCTTATCTATCATTTGTATGATATTTGAAATATACTGTCTTAGTTCTGTGGAAATATACATTATCATTGACTGTAATCATCGTGCCATGGGACAGATCTAAAACATTCCTTTTGGTCCATCTCAAACTTTGAACCCTTTGACCAACTTCCTGTCCCCCTGTTCCCTACTGCCTGGCCTCTAGCAACCTTCACTCTGTTTTTATTCCCACAAGTTCTTTCTCCTTCTTTAGATTTCACATATGGGTAAGATCACGTGGTATTTCTCTCCCTGTGCCTGGCCTATTTCACTTAACATAATTGTCCCAAGTTTATCCACACTGTCAGAATCACAGAATAGCCTTGAAGACTGACCAGTGTGCCACAGTTTTCACACACCACTTTTTCTTTATCCATTCATCCACAGAAGGACACTGAGTTACCACTCTCAGCCATTGTGAATAATGCTGCGCTTACCATGGGAGTTCAGTTATCTCTCCAAAAGATTACTGTGCATACTTCATATGTATATCCAAAAGAGGAATTTATGAAGCAGAAATTAATAATGTCCTTTCACCTACAGAAGCTTTGCATTTTCATGGGGTCTCGATTTTTCTTAGTGTTGTTGCCTATGCTTTTGGTGTCACAGCCAAGAAGTCTTTTTCAAATTCAATATGACAAAGGTTTCCTGTGTTTGCTTCTAAGAATTTCAGAGCTTTAACATTTACATTTAGATATTTGACCCCTTTAGAATTAATTTTTCTATATGAGGTTAGGAAAAGTTTTAGCTTCTTTGATTTGTATGGATATCTACTTGTCTCAGCATCTTTTTTTTTTTTTTTTTTTTTTTTTTGCGGAACCGGGGATTGAACTCAGGACCTTGCGCTTGTCAGGGAAGCACTTATTCCACTGAGCCATCTCCCCAGACCCTCTCTCAGCATCTTTATTGAAAAGACATTCCTTTTGGCATGGAACAGTCCTAGAGCCCTCAGCAAGTCATCTGTTGGGCCAGGGAGATAGCTCAGCTGCTTAAGCGCCTGCATGGCAATGGAAGGTCCCACGTTTGATCTTGGTACCATCAAGAAAAAAAAAATTCATCTGGCCAGAAGGGTGCAGCTGGGTAGAATGAACAACATCTAATATCCTGTAGCACAGCAGGACAACATGTTTGACCATGATTAAGTGTATATTTCAAAATAAGTAGAAAAGACAATTTTGAATGTCCTGACACAGAATGATGAATGCTTGAGGTGACAGATCTGCCATTTGCCCTGATCTGATTGTCACACATTCTATACATGTACGAAATGCCACACTGTACTGTGTGCATCTATGTTCCTCTTATATGGCAACTAAGATATTTAAATATTTTAGGGCCATTTGGGCATCTATGTGAGCACCCATTTATGGGCTTTTCATTGTTTCACTGACCTTTATGCCAATGGCACACTGCTTTGATGACTACATTTTGTACTACATTTTGAAATCAGGAGGTGTATCCAATTTCATTCTTCATTTTCAAAGTTGTTTTCAGTATTTAGGGTCTCTTGAGATTATATACAAATTGTAGAAATAGATGCTTCTATTTCTGCAAAAGGTGTCCCTGAGTTTTATTTGCTTGTCTGCTTTATAATTGTTGGTTGAAACCAGGGCCTTCACACTGAGCTACATCCCCAGCCGCCACCACCACCATTTTTGTATTTGCTTGGGGCCTCATTAATTTGCTAAATTCCCTGAGCTTGGCTTAAACTTGAGATCATCCTGCCTCAGTCTTCCAGAGTGCTGACTTTATAGGATGCACCATGACAACCATCTGAAAATGTCACTGAGATTTTGATAAGACTTGAATTGAAGCTGTAGATCATTTTGGGTAGTATTCTCATCATAATAAAAGTCTTCCAGTGGCGGCACACACCTGTGATCCCAGCACTTCAGAGGGTGTGGCAAAAGGAAGCCAGACTGAGCTACATAGCAAGACTCTGTTTCGAAAAAAGAATAACTTCCCAGTTATGGCTTTTTTTTTTTCTTTTCAGTATCAGATAGAACTCAGGACCTCGCAATTGCCAGGCAGGTGCTTATGCCACTGAGCTGTCTCCCCAGCTCTCAGTTATGTCTTTTTAAATATTTTTAGGAACATATTAAAGTTTTGTTGAGTACAAGTCTTTCACCTCCTTGATGTAACTGGTTTGCAGTATAGAGGACTGATTCTAGCGCCTTTTCACTGAGCTAGATCCCTAATGTTTTTCTTGTTGTTTTGTTGAGATAAAGTATTACTAAGTTGCTAAGTTGTCCAGGGCAGATCTCAATTCATGATCTTCCTTCCCTCAGCCTTCCAAAGTACAGGTTTACAGTCATGTACCACCAGAGTCGACTTGAAGTTTGCTTCTAAGTATTTCATTCTTTTGATGTTCTTATAAATGGATTTTTTCTTAACTTTCCTTTACATTGCGCATGGCTAGCACATAGAAGTACGACTGATTTTTGAATTTGATTTTGTTATTCTGCAAAGGCTGAATTTCCTTACTAACTACAATAGCTTTGTGGGC